CACCACACCTCTCGAATTAGTGTTTTAAGTGCACCCCTACCCACGATCATAAATTTCTGCAGACGTGTGCAGCAGCACAAGAGTTTAAGTTCAGCCTACAGATTACTAGAGACGTGTCTTTCTTAGAAAGCTGTAGTAGGTATGTTACATACTGTAAGAAAGACTTCTGTACAAGAGAGACCTCCACAAAAAAAGAATCCATTTCCAGCTGCTGCCAGCTGAAACTCAGAGGATCCAAGATCGAGGGACAGAGATTGCCAGGCAACATAAAGTACCTTAACCCCATTATCTCAGCGTGAACCGTTTTGCAATCAGACCCCAGCTGTGAGAAGCGGAGTGACTACCAACCAACCTGAGGACAAGAATTGTGCATCATTCTTGGGTAGGTTCTAAACTGGATTCTACTAGGATTCACAACCCCCTTCAGCTTCTCTGCAGTGAGAGCTCCAAAGCGCACCGGTATCATCGGATCCATCTCACCGTGGCACTGCAGGATGGCGATGTCTTTGTTCACACCATTACTTGCTGCCTACAATCAACAACAGCAGCATGGTTAGCTTGTGAATCATCCGTGAACAAATGTTGATATCTTGGATGGTCGTTGCAAAGGAGTGGTTTTATTTTATTTTTTATATATATTTTATTGATTTTTTTAAAACATAAATCACTTAATAGTTGGTAAACAGTGTGTTTGCTGGGTTTGCATTTTGTAAAGAAAAACCGTTAACAATTGGTTTCTATAATCCATAATCCACACGGTGCATTTAGTTGATTTCCCCCTTTCCCCAAAATGTCTCCTTTGCAAACCTTGAAATAATACAGTTCTTATTATTTTGATAAATCACATCAATATATTTCTTTTCTATCTAATCACTGAGGAGATCAACCCTGACTGCTCTTTAGAAGGCCAGATCCTGAAGTTGAAGCTCAAGTACTTTGGCCACCTAATGAGAAGGAAGGGCTCACTGGAGAAGAGCCTAATGCTGGGAAAGATGGAGGGCAGTAGAAGAAGGGGATGACAGAGAATGAGGTGGCTGGATGGAGTCACTGAAGGAGGAGGCGTGAGCTTCAAGGGACTCCAGAAGATGGTAGAGGACAGGAAGGCCTGGAGGAACGTCGTCCATGGGGTCGCGATGGGTCGGACACGACTTCGCAACTAACAACAACGATCTAATCATTCTGGTTGCCTCATCTTATACCCTGTTACAGTCCTTATTTAAATTTGTTTCTCCCATGAAGTTCAAAGTATTCTCGCTGGTTAAGATTTTCTCAACAGATAATTACATTTAAAGATTTAAATCCATTTTTCCATATAAACCACCTCAAACACTTTCACATTTCTTAAAGAATAGGTAAAAGCAGTAAAGAAAAGGAAAAAAGAGCAAGAGTAAAGAAAGGAGTGGTTTTATCCAACAGACTTTGGCCCAGCGTGCATTTCTCCCCCCCCTTACTTCCCCCCAGTTCCAAAAGAGAGGTTAGGCCACATACCTGAGGGAAGGTTCTGTGCAGGGGGAGCCAACAGCTGAGGGCCACAATGCCAGCCAACTGGTGAGAGCAAGTGAGCGCCGTGTAGAGAGAGAGGGCACCACCCTGAAGGACAGCCACATCAGAAAACTGGTCAGAGCTTATTCCTGTAAGGATTTCATGCCAAAACATCCCTCCCCAAACCAATCTCCTCCTCTAGTGTCCCCCCCCCAATTCACTGCAAAGAATGCTGTCCCCAAATACAGACCTCAAGAAACCCTTCCCTTCCAATTAATTGCTTATCAGAATCTCATAAATGAAAAAAATCATTAGCTGTCTGCAAGTTGAACCTATTTATAGGACAGTGATGGCGAACCTTTTAGAGACCGAGTGCCCAAACTGCAACCCAAAACCCACTTATGCATCGTCGAGTGCCGGGTGGGTGTGGCCCATTGGGTGGGCGTGGCCCATTGGGTGGGCGCGGCTGCGGTGGTAACGGCAGACTGGGTGGGACTAAAAAGTTCAATCAATCAATTCCAACTTTGTAAGATCTTTTTTTTTTCCCGCGAGAAGCTAAAATTGACTGATTGAACCTTTTTTTTTGCACACGGTGGCGGAGGCCTAAAGTGAAAAGGTTTTATAAAACCCAGCTGAAGGCCTAGGACTGGGGCGACGGTGCACGTGCCGCAGAGAGGGCTCTGAGTGCCGCCTCTGGCACCCGTGCCATAGGTTTGCCGCCACTGTTATAGAAAAAGTTGAATGAATGTATTTGACACGAGACTGTTTGCCCGAAAAGGAAACGGAAAACAAACAAATCGAGTGTTGAAAATCCATTCTAAATGTCCAACTCTATCCTTAGCTTAGAGGAGCTCGGTAGACGCTATTGCAAAATGTAAATGCATGCTTCCCCAGGATCTTAAGAATCAGAAGCTTGTATCTTTTTTCTGAGATCCATGGATTAATCAAGAGATTTAAATGCAGCTTCAAATTAATCAAGAGATTTAAATGCAGCTTCAGATTTCCTCCCATCCTCTTTGATTTTGCTGCCAGATCTTTCATTATTTCCATATTGCATCCATTATTACTGTTTTGCCTCTATCTGGGAACAAAAAGAAATGCAAGGAGAGGGATAGCGGGTATACGAAAAAGGATTTGTGGAAGAGGAGGAGGTTTTCAAATTTTGAACTGAAGTACGAACGGTGAAGTGCTATGCTTGTATTAGGACTCCCTTTTTACCACCCTGTAGTCTGTACAACTCAATTATTTAATTAAGGTAAAGGAAGGTAAAGGGGTTCTGCTAGTCATTGCCGGCTATAGGGTGCTCATCTCTGCTTCAAGGCCATTGAGCCTGCGCTGTCCGAACACATTTCTGCAGTTTTGTGACCGGTATGACATCACGGCGCACTGTTACCTTGCCACCAAAATGGTATCTATTTATCTGCTTGCATTTGTATGCTTTCACACTGCTCGGTTAGCAGGAGCGGGGCGAGGACGGGAGCTCACCTTTCTGAGTGGAGCCCAGGTTTAGAAACTGGGTTGCCGGCTTTCCAGCCGACAAGCCCAGCGTCTTAACTGCTAAGCCACTGCGCCACTCCAGTTCTTTAATTAACATAATTAACATAAGATGACTGTTACATTACTGTAATTTAATTTTTGAGCTGTTCTCTTTTCTTCTTTTTCGTGTGACTCTGCTTCTTTTTGCAACATGGTGTGACCCTTGGCCTAACAAAGCTGCACGTATCTTTTTTCCAATAAAGCAGGAGGACTCGCTATAAGGCCTTCTGGAGCAATTTTGGGCTCTCAAAATATATATATATATATCGCTTTCTTCCATTTTTGGTGCAGCTTTATGGTCTTCTCACTGGAAAAGAGCCTGATGCTGGGAAAGATGGAGGGCAATAGGAGAAGGGGATGTCAGAGAATGAGGTGGCTGGATGGAGTCACTGAAGCAGGAGGCGTGAGCTTCAATGGACTCCAGAAGATGGTAGAGGACAGGAAGGCCTGGAGGAACGTTATCCATGGGGTCGCGGTGGGTCAGACACGACTTCGCAACTAACAACAACATGTGGTCAAGAGGGACATCCTAAAGCAGTGTTTCTTAACCATGGCAACTTTAAGATAGGTGGACTTCAACTCCCAGAATTCCCCAGCCAGCCTGAGAAATACTGATCATCTCCATTCCCTGTGAAGGGGGTTTCCCGGGTGCCCCAGAAACCAGATCTGAGGTCTCTGTTCTTAGTCAGCATAGAGACCTGCCTCCTCCGTGCCCCATTCGTTCCCACCTGTGAAAAGCCTCCCAAGATGATCCGGTTGGCTGGGATCCCGTTTTTTACTTCATGGTCAATTACAGCTTTAACTGGAAAGCAGAAAGAGAAAAAGAGATATTCAGTCTGGCAGCAAGCTAACGCGGAGTTGGAAGCGGTCACGAAGCAAACAGGTCTGCTAGTGTGGATCCATGGCGTGGGTCCACTCGGTTAGATATGCCCCCTTTTAAAAAAAAAAAAAAAAAAACTCAAGCCAAAAGAGCTAGCGGATCAGCACTCAAAGGAAAGAGCAGAGGTGCACGTAAACGGGGAGTATGCCGTGAGAAACCATGGGGGATGGTTGGAGTGGGTGCAAAAGTCCACCACGGCATGACAACCGCTTTGGTTTTGCAAAACAGCTCTGGAATTTGCCTTAGGAAGGAAGCGGTTTCGTATGACCACACAGGGCACAACTGTGACTCTCTTCTTCAGCCAGCCTTGAAGACAGGAACTTCTCTCTGGCCACACTGAAAGTCCTGGGAAGCTGGACTATCTCCTCAGACAGCAATTTGCCAGCTGGTGAAGCCCTTATTTAGGAGGGCATTTCTTTCCTAGAGGGCATATATTTTATTTGACGCTTTTACTTCAGCTCCTCTGACCTGCCTATTGGATAGCTCTTCTATTCCTTAGTTGTTACTGTGCAGCGTATTAATTCTGCTTTGTTGCAGTGAGCAACCATAAATAGTAGAGGGATGGGCAGGGGGAGGGGGCTCTGTTGTATACGAACACATGGAATAAGCAGAGATTGGGAGAGTGCCAGGTGTGCGAATCCAGACTTCCTTGATCCTCCCTTTCCTGCCACCATGAACCTTTCCATTTATCAAAGAAGGGCTGTAGCTGAGGGGGAAATGACATGGGTCTCTTGGAGAATAGCCCAGATTCTATCTTCTCATCTCCGCCTTAGATCTGGGAAGGTTTCCAGTTAGAAGCCTTTCCCCAACCTGGGGCCCTCCAGGTGTGTGCAATTCCCAGAAAGTGCGGCCCACAGACAAGAGGCAGGGTAGAGGCAGACGGCTTTAAAGAGCCACAGATACCATGTGGCAGGCAGGCAATGTTTGTGGCAGTCAAGGAGTGTACTTTTTACAATTTATTTAGTTTTTTTTCTGGGCTCCAAGAACCATGGAAGATACCATAATATCACTCTGAATATTATTGCCACAGCATTGGTTCCTTCTTTAAGAAGGGGGGGGGGGTCTAGTGGAATTCATCTTTAAAAACAAAAAGTGAAGTCAGCTCATTAAGTGCATTAAAAAACTAATGCACCTATTTTGCATAATTCCATTGGCATACCTCCAAAGGAAAAAAACCTGCAACATTAAATTTAGGCAGCATAATCAACAGGCGATGTAGGGGGGGCACAAAAAGGAGACTGGGTATTCACTAGGATCATCTGAATTGCCCAACCTGGGTGTGAATTATTTGAGATATGGGCCTGATGTAATAAAGGCATTTTTTCCCCTAAAAGCAAGGTTATATATGCACCAAGGCAAATTGGATTTCCTCAAGCCCAAAGATTTATTTTGGTTTTTTTTCTATTCAGATTTATGACCTGCATGTCTGCACATTCCCAAGGACAGCTTATGTTCTCCAAAAAGTAGCCTGCAGAGGCCCAGTGTTCGCCCAGCTGGAGAATCTCGACATCTGGCTTCTGCCATATACAAGAAATTAAATGTTCCATGCCATTTTGCTGGCTTTACTTTTTTGTGTGAATTAGGCAGTAACTGAAAAAAGCAGAAAGGGTTCAAGAGTTCTTTTTTTAACCTTAGGAAAGGACCCCAACTGCCTTTCTTGGTTTCCAACCACTGGAAATTATGATTGAGAGAAAAGTGGGCCGACTCAGAAGATGCCCAAGGAAACGCCTTTCTTACTGTTCTCAGCAGCTTTTTTAATTCCATTTTCATCTTCTGGCGCATCCGGACTTAGCCCCATTAAATCAAACCTGAAATGGGGAAAAAAGGGGAAAGACCATCACAGTCATGATCTTCTAAGACGGGGCAGGCAACCTTGGCTCTTTTATGACTCGTGGACTTCAACTCCCAGAATTCCTGAGCCAGCCAAGCTGGCTCAGGAATTCTGGGAGTTGAAGTCCACGAGTCATAGAAGAGCTAAGGTTGCCTACCCCTGTTCTAAGACAGTCTCCTAGGGCCAATTAAGGGCCCAGGGGCATAGTATTATGGTGCAGTGGTAACCTGGCTATGTGGAACGCCAGCAGCAGCATTTGGAAATAGGAGCAAAATTCTGTCTACCCCTCAGCATCTTCCCTCTGATTTCCATTCCACCAGACCTTAAAATGAGGCATCAACCGGCCAAATCTATTCTACTTTGGGTTTGAACGCATGCCAGATTACAGGACTGTAATCAAGATTGATCTGATATGGTGTGTGAGAATTGTATCCATGTCACTGCCCAGAATGGAAGCTAACAGCTACAGTAACGTTTAATCTAAAATATTAAGATTGCAGCTCCCCCGCAGCTGGCTATGTCGTGATATATTTATGTCGTATTTGAAGGGTAGCAGTTTGGAGAAAGCTTAATTGGAAGATTTGTGGCAGGTAGCAATTTGATAAAAAAGGCCAAAACAAGGGGTGAAAGTACATACAACTCTGCTAAGATTATTATAAGGCAAGTGTAAGAAGGCTGTATGTACACCACACACTTAATGTTGCTAAGTGAATACTTCCATGAGTAAGGTCCATATATTCTCTCCAAATTTGCACCAGCCCATTAGTCTGCTGCCTTCACCTTTTCCTCCACCACTTCACCAAGATCCTAGGGCAATTCCAGCTGCACATAGAACTGAAAATAGGGCAGAAGAGTTTGGCTGCTAATAATCCAAGAAATATTGTTCAATACTAACCAGGAGGGCATAACCATCTTCATGTTGAGAGTGACAGGGATTCTGGGTCTGCAAAGAGAGACAGAAGATGGGGTATAATTCTAGCAGGACCACAGGTCAGAAGGGTAAGGAAACAAAAAATGATAAAGAAATATCAAAAATCATACTTTTTAAAAAGTATCACCAACATTCTTGGAATTCTTCAAAGCTGTGCACTAAGTCAACAAGAATAGTTTAGCATCAGGGCCACAGTGTCTAGACCAGTGGTGGCGAACCTATGGCACGGGTGCCAGAAGCGGCACTCAGAGCCCTCTCTGTGGGCACGCCCCAGCCCTGTCACTCCCCGTAGCCCCCTCCTCACCAGCAGCCCCCCCCCCCGAGGAGAGTCACCCCGGGCGCATCCTGTGCAGAGCAGTGCAGCCAAGGACATGGCAGCCGGGCAGCGGGAACAAGACTCCACCCTCGCACCCCATCGCGTACAGATGATGCTGTGGGGCACAGACAGAGGGCATGGCCTCCATGACGCTGCTGGGCCACCTGGGCAATCTGCTGTGGCGGGCCGTGGAGGTGGTGGGTGGCCCTGTGGGCAGGAGATGCGGGGACGAGGCAGGGGCGAGGCGGTTTTTGGGCACTCGGTCTCTAAAAGGTTCGCCATCACTGGTCTAGACCTTCCCCATAAAACTGGCAGTAGGAACAATATTTTGCAGGCAGATCAGGTTAGTAAAGCAAGAGAAAGCAAAGCTGCTCTTCTTCTCCCCTCTCTATTTCATTTAGAGTCCCTGCTCAATCAAGCAGCGTTTGGTGTGGTTGCCTAGTAAACTACCCTGGGATCGGACCATTAGGGGACTGACTTGATCCTGGGCTTGGCGCTTTTGCTAGGAAGCAGCTGAGAAACAAACCGCCATTTCTTCTATTGATTCTACTCTCAGCAACGCTGGTTTGGGGACTGGGAAGTATCGGCCTACTGCCCATCGCTGAAACTCAAGCAACAGGACTGACAGCAAGACAGCACAGAATCAGCCCTAGAATGTGCTGCAAGAACCACTGGGACAATATTCTAAGGTAAGAGACGAACGGCGAGAAAGGCAAAGAGGGGCTGGTGGTAGGTTCAGACACAATTCTGGATGCTTTCCTTTAGCATCTCTCATAGTTACTATGTGTATGTGAGGATGAAGCAGCGCTATGCAGTCCCTTTTGGGGGGGGGGGCAACTCATTCTAGCCTTGCTGTTTGCCTGTTCAGGATCTTTGAGATATTCAGGTGGGTGACACATTCCTGCTCATTATTTGGGACATCAACTTCCTGTCCATTTCAGCGAATGGACCTCGATCTCTGTTGCTAACAAAGTCTCCCGTCTGGAATTTCTGTAGGTGGCCAAATAGGGAGCTGAGACTCGTCTGGGGCTTTGTGAGAGTTTGAATTCTGGATCCCTAGAAGTGGTTAATAGGGAGGAGAATACAATGTCTAAGCCCACATAAGTCAGAATAAATTATTAATGAAACTTCTTGGCACAAATTAAGTCACCCCTTGCACATACTTCCAGCCAGTGAACTCAAGCCTAAAAGAAGTCAGAGTAGGTCATTTTTTTTTTGCCTCAATCTATTAAGGAAGCAGGGGATGAAAAAAATGGAAAGCTCCAGAAAAAGGCAAGAGGGTCGAAGGGGAAATAGCTATCGCTCAGTAATTTAATCGTTAGTTTGCAGGCTTCTAAGAACTAGACATTTTGACCAGTAGGGAAGCATGAGGAAGCCTGATAGAACACTGACGTGGTATAAAGCAGATATTAAAAATATATGCCAATTTCTGAGGGATGTAATGCCTCTGCTTGTTATACTTTGCTTGCAACCTGCAGTTCTTTCACTTGCTGATACTATTCTCTGCTGATTTTGCAACTCCCTTTTCAAATAGCAACATCTAGCCCTGCCCGCTATCAAAGCTTCTACCTTTGAATTAAGATAAAGTCCTGGAATACCAGAGGGTTATGGTGAATGAGTCTCCAGGTGGTCTTTTATTGGTTTTTAGGTAGTGGTGGCTACAAAGATTACTACTGTTACTACTGTTATTATTATTACTACTGTTATGGTTAGTCAGTCAGCCAGATGTTTAGACTGGATTTGGCATTTTTAACCACCTATTGAGTCCTTCCCAAGGACCTGGGATAGGCAGATGTTGTGGTTTGAAGGTATTATTATCGCTATATACACAACAATGTAAAGTGACAGCTGCCAGGTCTTCAACTGGTGCTTCATTTGCATCAAGTTCTTCCCAAAAACCCAGGACAGCACTAGCAATAGCACTTGAACTTATATACCACTTCACAGTGCTTTACAGCCCTCTCTACAGAGTCAGCATATTGCCCCTAACTATCTAGGTCCTCATTTTACCATCTCGGAAGGATGGAAGGCTGAGTCAACCTTGAGCGGTCAGGATCGAACTGCCGAACTGCTGGCAGTCAGCAGAATTAGTGTGCAATACTGCATTCTAGCCACTGTGCCAAGGCTCCTAATTAGGATGCCCTAACATAGTGATGGAGAACCTTTTAGAGACCGAGTGTCCCAAAACTGCTCCCACCCTGCCCTGCTCCCACCCCGTCCCCGCCCTGTCCCTGTCCCCGCCTGCCCACAGGGCCACCCACTGCCTCCACGGCCCGCTGCAGCACCATAGCAGCCACGCCCTCCGCCCATGGCCTGCATCATCTGCATGCGATGGGGAGCGAGGGCGGAGTCTTGTCCTCGCTGCCCGGCTGCCATGTCCGTGGCTGCGCTGCTCCGCGTGGACTGCACTCGGGACGACTCTCCTCTAGGGGACTGCTGGTGAGCAGGGGGTCACGGGTGGAGGCGGGGCTGGGGGGACGGCAGGCATGCCCACAGAGAGGGCTCTGAGTGCCACCTCTGGCATGCGTGCTATAGGTTCACCACCACTGCCCTAACATATTAAGGAGAATATATCAGAATCCTGTATTTGAGAATCCATGCATGTTATTGTTATATAGTTCATCCTTTTGGGGCATGATGATTATGTCGATAGTACACTGCCCTGGAAGCCATGGAATGACAGGCAGAAATATTTTACTGAAAAGCAAACAGTAGGAAACTTTTTACAGCCCAGTAGCCACATTTCATCTCTCTGCCATGCCCAAGAGATGCAAGAGGTGTGGCGTGGCCAGTGATACAATAACATCGTAAAACAGGTGCTTTTGTGTTTCCATTGCTCAGAGAAAATTGGGGGTGAAGTTCAGTGCTTTTAAACCTGCATTTTAAAGACAGAATAACGGTGACACTTACGCATGAGGGCAGATGTATTTCACATAAGGGAGCCGGATGGAAGACAGAGCATCAGCCCAGCTGTGCCTGAAGGGGGAAGGGCAAAAGAAAGCAGGTCAGGTCACCATCCAACATAAAAATGAAAAGGCAAACATTTTTCACAACTGCCCCATCCCAGAGGCTCATTCTGCTAAAAAGGCAGTTGGGAAAACCAGGCACAGATCCTTATTGCAGCTGGCAGGTATGGGCTGGCCCATATCTGCCAGCTGCAATAAGGATCTGTGCCTGGTTTTCCCAAAAACTCACCCCACACACTGCATCAGTGAGAACAGCTTGGTAGGGGAGATCTTTCACCACTTCTGGAGGCAGGTTGTTCCACTGGTTAATTGTTCTAACTGTCAGGAAGTTTCTCCTTAGTTCTAGGTTGCTTCTCTCCTTGATTAGTTTCCATCCGTTGCTTCTCGTCCTGCCTTCAGGTGCTTTGGAGAATAGCTTGACTCCCTCTTCTTTGGGGCAGCCCGAGATATTGGAACATGGCTATCATGTCCCCCCTCGTCCTTCTCTTCCTTAAACTAGACATACCCAATTCCAGCAGCCTTTCCTTATATACTTTAGCCTCCAGTCCCCTAATCACCTTTGTTGCTCTTCTCTGCACTCTTTCTAGAGTCTCAACATCTTTTTTACATCGTGGTGACCAAAACAGGATGCAGAATTCCAAGTGTGGCCTTACCAAGGCACTGTAGAGTGGTATTAATATTTTGCGTGATCATATCCTCATATCAGTGCAACATTCAGATATACAAGTAGTCCTTGAACTTATGACCATTTGTTCAGATTCTTTGAAGTTACATTGGCACTGAATAAATGGTGGCTACTACTGGTACTCAGAGTTCCAGTCATCCCAGCACTGCCCCAGTCACAAGACTGCGATACGGGTGCTTGGAAGCCATTGGCACTTCCAGCTGCTTGCCAAGAGCCCCGCAATCACATGACCACCTTAGCAACTTTCTATGCCAGCTTCCCCAGAACGTCAAAGGGGAAGCTGGCAGGGAATATTAGAAGTCACTGCGATGGGGTAAGTCTCCACCACCAGGGCACACTCCCGCAGCCCTTGTGTGCTTGCCCCAGTCTCTTTTTTTTAATAATTTTTTTGATTTTTTTCATACATTCAATAGTGCTTGCTCAACAAACTTTGCTGGCTGAGGAATTCTGGGAGTTGAAGTCCACAAGTCTTAAAGTTGCCAAACTTGAGGACCCCTGTTTTAAACTCTAAAGTCATCAACTTCATCTCAGTATCTTCTCATTCCAATCCTTTAATATTCTGCTCTCTATGGTGGCTAATAATACCAACATTTCACATTTACCTCCAGCTGTTGATATTCCCAATCCAGGTTTGTGAAATGTAGAGAGGTTTTTGCCTCCCCAGGTGCCACTACCGTTGCCCAACTGCCATCACCAGCATAGCTATACATCCCAGATTTTCCCAATACTCACCCTGTGTCACCGAGCCCGTGCAAAAAAATGACCTGCCAAGTCAAGTAGAAAATAAGCACATTAGCCGGCTCAGCAAGTGAGAAAGTGCTAGCAAAGCTACTATAATCAGGAAGCGTTCTGTGAGGTCAATTAGTTGCGAAACAAAAACAGATTACGCAGGAGGGAAGAAGCCAGAGTCACTCAACCTAAGGTAGTTAGCAGAAGATGAGAATGAAGATGCGTGCGACTGAATCCATTTGTGACCAAGCTACCATCCTATCGTGACGCCTTCCCCCTAACAAGATGATGATTCACTAGAAAAATATGCAAATATATCTTGTCAATATTTATTACATTTCGCTAAATGGGCAAATTTCTGGAATGTTCACGCCTAGGTAACAAAGCTGTCTTCTTACCTGGCACCACTGGGCCAAAGCTATTAGCCATCTTTGAATTAATCTGACAGGTTGCCATCACCCGCTTCTTCCTGATTCCTTCCGAATTCATTTCTGATTTTCCACTCATCTCACCAAACCAAGATATAAAATGATTCTAGTAGAGCAGAGAATCCAGCTTCCTGATAAATGCTTCTATTGCTATAGAGAACAAGTTCCCTAAAGACTGTGGAAGTGGAGGTAGAAGTAGTAAGCAGTGCCTGGTGAAATCCCAGAAGGCAAAGGAGCCCCCAGAGAGTTATCAAGCTTTACTTGTTGCACAGATCTTAGGAACTGGTTTGGTTCAAGTCATTCTTAGTTTTAACGGAAAACTAATTTTGTGGACTCTATGATTGTGGCAGAAGAACAGGTCCCACTTCCTGTCCTTGATCACAAATCCCTGGGTTAAAAAAATCATCTACTGCCTGAGTTTCATTCTTCATATAATCCACTCCTTCTCTTATCACTGTTCTTTGCCAAAGATATTTCAAATTCTATAATCACCTTCCCTCCCATCTTTGATCAACACATCTTATCAATCAATACATATTTGAATGGTATTTCAACATTTCAACATTTCTCAATGGAATGATGGAAATTGGCACTTTGATCTTTCAAAATCCCATGAGTTCCAATAGCCCCAGAACATTCTAAAAATTCATACCCATTCCCTCCATATACTAAAATTATAATTCCGTTTTAAGTATGTTATGTAGATTTAAATAATATTCTAGGAAAAAAAGATGGTCCCAGTGCTGGAATTGTACTGCTGAATTTGATCAAAATCAGGACTCACAAATTTGTGGTATCTGCTTAACAGCCATGCAAGTGCAGAATATGATACAGTGTACATGGTTTATTATACTGTATGTGCAACTTGGACTGTTTTGGAGAGGCCAATTTTTAAGATGCTAAAAAAATGAAAAGGAGGAATCTGCAGACTGGATAGTGCTAACCATAGCCACCAAGATGCGATTTCAGAGTGGCTATGTTCCTATCCACACACTCCTCAGGTTATATTGTGGAAGCAGAATTATATAAAATAAGCCAATCTTGGCAAATATATTGGGTCTTCACTATTGTTCTAGATGACTTTTAGACTTTAGATCTTGGGGAAGGGGAAAGCAAAATTCTCTCTTCCACACCGCAAGCAATACATTTTCGGTGAGTTTGGATGGCACAAGTGCAGGCCAGGCCAGCAATGAGACTGAAAATTAAAGTAGTTTTGGAGTTTTGTAGCATGGGTTCAGTGCCACCGCACAGTATTACCTACTACAATAATTCACCACGCCAGCCCCATAACTGGAGAGGGGGAGGGGAGGAAGCAGGTTTTAGTCAATTATTACCTAATTAATGCAAGAGAATAGCACTGAGGGCAACACAGCAGGATACAGTTGGACTAATTACCTGCCAGAGGCAACAGGGTGGATTTTGCACAGGTCCTACAAACAACATTTTACAGTTTATTGAAAAGGAAGGAAACTGATCTGATCTCCTTCTGTAGTTCCCCAGCCTCCAGAAAAACTGATACCAAATTCTTACCACAGGTAGCATTCTTTTCTCGGAAATAGCCTCCCCGTTATGGGGAGAACAATCCCTTTGCCTTTTATATCAGCAGAGAGGATGGGCTGGAGGAGAAAAACCCATTAATTCCCTAATCTTTCTGGATGCCAACAGATGGTAGGCCCAAAACAGCATGCCCTTACCGCTGCAGTCTCCCGCTCTGTCCCTGAAACGGTCACAGCATCAGCAAGGAGGGGGACAGACATGTTGTTACCGCACATACAACTATACAATTCACACCTGCAGAGGATGAGAAACACACAACCAGTTAATTTATTTAAATCAGCCACCTATAGTCGGGTGCTTTCAGATGCTGGCTGGGAATTTTGAGAGTGAAATGCCTGTGCCAAACACTTAATTTACCCCTGTAAGTTTTAATATAAGAAATACTCCACAGCATTTACCTTTGAGGAACTGATAGCAGAGCTGTAAATAAAACACTTTAGGATCCAAAAGATTCATAGCTTCCCATCAAATCTCAAACTTTTTCAGTTTTCTTTTGGTCCATAAACAATGAGAGATAGAAGTTTGCTTTGTTTTTTTAAAACAAAGTTGTTGTTATTTTTTTATTTTTAATGAAATTCAGCATTTTCTGAGTAAAAATTGTCTTTGACAATTAGACCAGAAAAATATAAACTGCGGTCAACTATTCTGAAGACAGTGCTTGTCTAAAAAATGTGTTTCCCAAAGCCTCAACCTAGTTCACACCAAAATCCAACTCAGTTTTGAAAATATTTTATATCTCATAACGGCACGCTTTTGAAATTTCACAAGGATGCTGCTAAAACTCTTTTTAACTTAAAGGTTGTTTCAAATGCTAAAACAGAATTATGCTACCTAGACTAGAACCAAAATTTGCAGCTGATGCTCAGAAGCAGTAAATGTTTTAAAGCCCCATTCAGCTGGGGCAATAAGTGTGTTTCCTTTGTACAGGAATGTTAAAAACAATATGAAAAGCACTCCAAGGTGTCTTAGTTTTCTCTGCAACTGGACAATGACCTACATGCTGGGCTTAAGATAAGTCATAGGTATTAAACATTACATGTTCTGCATATTTAGATTAGCCTTCCCATATTAGTACACTTGCCAGCATGCTGGTTGAGAATTATATGTTGAAGGCCAACTGGCAGCTTCAGATTGAGAAACATTTTTCTAGACAAGTAATTCATTTGCTGAATTGCTCCCAAGACTTTTTAAGTATTTTATTAAAAGCTATTTTCCCACTTCTTATATATATCCATACATTGTAAATTACATATGCATAGAAAGAATAGTGAATGATAATACTGTTGCAAAAGAAAAACTCAAACCATAGCTACACTAAGAAATATATGTTTAGTATACACACAGAGACTGCACATGTTTGTATATATGTTTGTGTGTATGTGTGTGTAGATACATGAGAATGTACTAAGAATTGGTTGCCAAGTGTTAGCTATTGCTTTCCTTTTTCCAGATTTATTTTAGGAACCCAAACTACTTCCAAATGTTTTCAACTGTTCTTTAACTTATTTCAGTTGTGGCTATAAAAAAACCTCATAGAGTATTAGAAACAGGAAGGACAGCCTTTTATTTTAATGGGAGATAACCAGGAAAAAGAGAACAGTATGCTAGGCAGTAAAAAAACCCACTGAAATCAAAGCTGGCTAATTTCATTTCATTTTATTCAATATCTCAGACCAATAAAACACACCGCAAAATACAGGGGTGGGGGAACCCTGAGTCAATAACAACAAGAAGATATCTCCCAAGTTCTGCCAGCCACGGCTTTTGCTTGAATAAGTAGCAAACGTACCCATTACTTCTCCCTTCTATTTCCCCCATAATAACCCCCTGTGAGATGGATTGGGCTGAAAGAGAGGGACTGATCCAAAATCACCCAGCCAGCTTTCATGCCTAAGGCAGGACTAAAACACACATTTCATTCCTTATGTAAAATATAATCTGCAAAGAGCCAGTTCTGCTGGCAGCATTTACCTCTAATGCTCCCCAAAGTATCAGGAATTACAATGGAATAATCACCATAAGTGCCATTTCCAGAATTTTACCTAAGTTACCCATTACAGAAGGTAAGTGAACAATCCGTTGGCTTGTGAAAGTCTAACCAATGTAGTGTGACTTTCTGACAAAAAAACAGCAATCCAAGTGGGCCATATTCCAAAGCCTAAACATTCTACCCCTAAACTAAGCACTGACTATCTTTTAAAGAAAGTAATTTATTTGCACCAATTTTGTGAACATGCCTTTAGCTAGCAATGATAATCAGATTAAATTCCAGTTGATGAACAAGCTAAGGCAGCCATTGAAAAAAAAACATTTTATAAGTTTTTAGCATATGTCCTTCCATCCACACAGAGACACATCTATGGCACAGCAAGTCTAAAACACTATATTTTCTCCAGTTGGAAATATTTTCCTCCCAGATTCTTACTTACCGTAGCTATTCACCCAGCTGATTGTGAGATATAATTAAGTTCTGTTTAGTAATCCCATTTATATATGTTTAGGTTTCTTTTGCTGGGAGATTTTGCCCATATGTTTTAATAAAGCCTTCCCCAACTTGGCACACTTCAGTTGCACTGGGATTGACACTCCCAGAGAATAACATACTAGCTAGGAATTTGGGAAACTGTAATCTCAATATTTCAGCATGTAAGATAGATAGGATAGATAACAGACAAACTCAGGAGGGATAGATAAGGGTAGATAGAATAGATAGATTGATAGACAAATAGATAGATTGATAAGTCTGCACAGTGCCACGTTCAAGAATGCTACCTTAGCATTTCAATGGTCTTAGGAAGAAATGGGGTAAAGTCCATGAAATTGGCAGGAATAGACAATCTGATGCCTTCAATACATTTTGGAGTATTACAGCTATTGGCCCAGTGAGTAGACTCAACAGTAAACTTTGAATGGAGGTGAAGAATATCACATTTGTCCGTAGCTAAAATAATAATTTTAAAAAGGCAAACTAGTAGAAAATATAAAATTCTCTCAATCTACAGTATTGGCCTCTTCAGAGGATAAAGACTTGAGTTCTAGCAGCATTTTGTCTCTGATACGAACTTTCTTCCTCACATAATACTTAAGGAAGTGATAAATGATTATTAATCAACTGGATTGAAAAGAAATTTTATACATAGAGTATGAAGGAAACTAAATTAGCACCTTCCTCAACAGCCTCAGATCAATAGGATATTGGTAAGAAGCTTCTATTTGCAAAACATGAATGTACAATTCTCTATAATGCTTTCATTTTTGGGGTATTGCATTTCAATGACTGCCATCATTGTGAAAAGCTTTTCTCACTCTGAAACCACGTGTCACTTCCAAGCTTGGGTTTTACCCACTTTGAAGAGAGGCTCTTATCAACGTCCCACACACAACCTTGAGAAACATCACAAGAGGAAGTCATTTACTTAGGACAGCTTAAGGACTGTTCATTTAAACATGGTTATATACACCCCTACAATTGAAAGATTAAATCAAACTTTTCTCCCATGTCCACCAAGTATAGGGCACAGCTGTTTATATAAGTGCCAATAACAATCCAGGCAGATGAAAATGTATCTTCCTTATCACCACAGCGCTACTACTGATATAGCTGATAATAAGGAAAAAATAGTAACTACAACAGATATTATCTACAGCACATGGCTTGATCAGAAAGGCCATTTTCATCCTGCCATTGGAAACTCTGCTGTAACTTGTCTCTTGCAGTGCAGTCATATTACATTCTGGTTCTGTTGCTGCTGGCACAGTCAGAAAAAGAGAAAAAATATCACAGCCAGGGAAACAACACTGGATCACAAAACTTAGAAACTGGGCAATCTATCTAAAAAACACTTTTTCCAGGCTAAATAAAAATAGAAGTCCTAATCTTCTAGGTTTGCAGAAAGAATCCCAGTTTCAGTTTTCTCTGCAATGCAAAGCACTGGTGACATTCTTCACTGGGATCATCCACCAGCCAGTTTCCCCTTCCAGTGTTCGTTACCTTTATTATGAGCCCAAAACCTTCTCTATTACAGTGTGGACCAGACCTGGCCATTTTACAGTCCATAGGCCACACTGGACTCTTCGGCTCTCCCTATCTGGACCATGTGGATTCCTTTTATTTTGAATTTTCAATTTACACAAGTGTGCATGCAGGCCTATGCACCTTCATAGCTCTATTGTTTCAGTCTTCCAAAACACTCCCTGTTTCACATATGGCCCCTTGGGGAAATTAACTGCTCAACACTGATACAGACCACAGGAAATTCAAACTAAAACAATTTTTAAGGCACAAGTCACTTCTTAGACAACTTGTCCATATATCTAATTTCCACCCAACTCCAACACAATACAACAAGATGCTCTTCTAGCTGTAACATGAATGGCATGGTGTCAGGGAGTATGAGAGATTCACTATGTGGTCCTTTGGCTAGGTCTACTCTGCGAGTCCCCTGGACTGCAAGGCGTTCAAACCGGTCAGTCCTAGAGGAGATCAACCCTGACTGCTCTTTAGAAGGCCAGATCCTGAAGTTGAACCTCAAGTACTTTGGCCACCTAATGAGAAGGAAGGGCTGACTGGAGAAGAGCCTGATGCTGGGAAAGATGGAGGGCAAGAGAAGAAGGGGACGACAGAGAATGAGGTGGCTGGATGGAGTCACTGAAGCAGGAGGTGTGAGCTTAAATGGACTCCAGAAGATGGTAGAGGACAGGAAAGCCTGGAGGAACGTTGTCCATGGGGTCGCGATGGGTCGGACACGACTTCGCAACTAACAACAACAACAACTCTGATTTGAAGTGCTAATTACCAATCTCAAAGTAGGTATCAAAAATTTGCATGCCAAGCAATTCACATATTGTTGAACATCCTTTGGAAGAAGGTGAGATTTCATAAGCAACTTGTAATAATGGCAGAAAGGATGGAGAATCTTTAGATTTTAAACCCCAGTCTCAGCGGAGGAAATACCATCATCACAATTAACACCTAGGCAATTTTACTCATTAGATACACAACTGGAATAGTGGACTGCTTCAAGCTGAACCAGAAGCACTGGATAGAAGGACCAGAACAATAATGACAATGAATCATGCCCTTCATCTGTGCAGCAACACTGACTGTACTTTCCAAGGAGCACAGGTAGGCGTGTAATGTTGCAAGTACACCAGACAGTTGAATAAAAAAAGGGCACTGGAATAGCTGAAGGACAGTGGATCTAGTACAAGGCTTTAATGAATACAAAGAGACA